TTATTTAATGGATTTCAAGCAATTGCAGTCGGCCCAAAAAGTGGAGGAGGAGAACTCGGTTTATGTGGAGAAGTTTAACAAGATGTGGAAGCCCTCCTTGTTGCTTTGACACCCCCCTGCCCCCGCCCCCCCTCGTTCCTGTACGTGGAAAACAGGCTGCTGCATAAACACTACTACCTCAGCAATGCTCCGACAAACTTTTGCTTTCTTTCACACACAAACCAGTTCCAGATGGCGGTGTTTCATAACAGACGTGCACAGCTGACTGGCTCGCTCACCGGTTGGCTCCGGGGGGGCGCCCCCCCTCCCACCCTCGACTACCTGGGAGACGCCATCTGAAGGAATCTCTGAACTCCCCGGAGCTTCGAGTCTGGAAGATGTTTCTGGAAAAGCCGGCAGAGACTCGGGTAACGTGTCGGTGCAGCCTGATCCCGTAAAGACGTTTCACTTTTGGTCCCGCCTTAATAATCCCTGCACGGCGAGGAACCGGTGCCAAGCTAAGTGGATTATTTCGCTCAGGGATTAGACTTTTTGTGAGTGTTTGGCTATCGCTGTTAGCTCAGGGGCTGTTTATTACCCGACAGTTTAAAGCTTGGCCTGGAAGATTTTTTTTAAACCGTCTAATTTTAGGACTTTATAACTTGTTTTTTTTTTTTTTGCGGTGATATTTAAAAGGTTGATCGTTTAATCTTCCTACTGCGGCCAAAACAATAACTACAGCGGTGATTTTTCCCCGTTTCTCCGTAGGGTGAATTTGGTATACGGCAGGGCTATTCAACTGGCGGCCCGGGGGCCAAATCAGGCCCTCTGGTGAGCTCAGTTCAGCCCACCAATGGGTTCTGTTTTAAATAAAACTAAATTTTAAACCATTTTCATGCGACTTAGTTCGCTGTGGCGACCCCTGCAAAGTAGGAATGCGCGATATAAACGGTACACGGTAGAAACGATAAAAATTTGGCCTTCGATGGAGATCTGTCTTCTACCGGCTAACCGCAGTAATGCTGTGTCTGATGTAAAATCAGAGTTGTCAGATTTAAAAGTTACTTTTTTTGAGTTGAGAACTGTGCGTAAGTGGTGTTGAGGTCTTTTCTTCGAGCGCTAAGTAGTGAAGCTACAAGCTAACTACGGCCGGCTTGCCGTGGTGTTGCCGTATTCGGACGCAAAACGCTGTGTTCCGTCAAAAGTTTTTAATGTCGAAAGTTAATTAAGCGTTGGTCATTTTCAGAGAAACCTGCTCTCTGATCTGTGAAAAGAACGCTTTGTTGTGTGATTTTACTGCGAGACCCTCTGGTCAAAGCCACAGAGGAAACTGGTCGCCATTTTGTGTCAGCTCTCCTTAAAGCAGAAGGAGACGCCCACAAGAGGTTTGGAGGGCGAAGTGTTTTTAGTATAAAATGCTGCTTTGTTGCTGTTCATTTCTTAAGTAAGACGAAACTGTTAAGAGTTAACATATACTTTTGTTTAAAACATATGACTAAAACTACATTTGGTATATTTAGCACTACAAGAAAGACGCCTAATACTTGGTTTGTTTATTATGTTAAAATTCTCTGGACTTAGTGGTGGAATTTTCTTAACTGAGATTATTTTGTGGTTTAGCAGTTTTCAAAATAAATGATGGCAAAAGGACACCCTATGCTTTTTTTTTTTTAAATCCTATTGCAAATTTTATACCAAAAACATATCGTGATATATATCGTTATCGCCACCCTTCACAATACATATCGTGATATGAATTTTATGCCATATCGCACATTCCTACCGCAAAGGGAGCAGACGAAAGAAGAAGATTTTAAACCATAAAACAAACTTAATGCCAACTGCTGGATGTGTGGCCCCTGAGCTCTTGGCTTTCAGTAACTGTGGCCCCGAGCAGTTTGGTTGAATATCCCCGGTGTACCGTCTCGCCGTACGACCCGTATAACCCACGAGTCATTTTAGTGGAAAACCTCGCCTCATACTCACATAACTGCTCTCCATCCACCCCGCTGTCCTCTGATCGTTCCGTGTCGTCCTCGTCGTCCCCCGACGAGATGGCATCTGCACAGAGTAACCATGGTTACCGCTACGCTTTCACACTCGCGCGATGTAGCCGCGGTTCCTAAACTTTTCAACGCACGGGCTACGAAATATCTGTGGCAGAGATGCTCGACTTGACAGGTTCAAGGTGACCATGGCCTTACAAATAAAATGAAAAGTTTTAGCCTTGATCCTAAATATACCATAAATAAAAACAAAGTTCATCACAGGTTGGTTTAAAATAGTTCCAAAGTTTGAGGAAGTTTTAAACACATTTCACATCTCCTTATTTACATCACTGCTTTAAAATAAGAATAATTAAAAACACTTCTTTAATATTTTGGTAATAAACCTAAACTAATATACATGGTATTAATTAGGCATTAGCAACTTTTATGTTTTTTCAAATAAAAGCAAAGAGGTCATGCGCTACTTTTACACATTTTTATTTTTTTTATCATGAAACCGAAGTACTTTCAGGTTAAACCACCACCAGAATCTCATATTGGTTCTTGCTTTCTCCACTGTTGCCACAGGCCAGTTAAACAAGGGTATAATAATAAAACTACCTGTTTTAATATATAACTGTGCATTTTGTCGTTTTATATTTTACTTATTTCGTACGCAGGACCCTAAAGTTGTGCTTCGTGACGCCAACCTTGGGAACAACTGCAGCTTTTAGAAATGTCCACGTCTCGTTCTAGTAAATGTTTTTTTAAATCAACCCTTTAGTGTCACTTTTAAAAAAAACAACGTCTCCTGTTTATCTGCTATTACTGCTTCACGAGCAGAAAAGAATCCAAGTCTGCGTTTCCACGGCCACTTTCTGAACTCTTCTGTGCACCATCCAACCACTCCTCTCCAGACTTCCTGTCCCGTCCTGACCTGTCCTGCGTTGTCCCTGACTCACCTGTGACATTGACTATGAAGCAGACTGTGTCTTTGCCCACGCTGGTGCAGGCGTACAGGCCCGAGTCCTTGGGCGTGGCATCACGTATCTGCAGCACTTGGTGCTCAATGAGCGTGCGGTTGTTGGCGCCCAAAGAGCTGCCATCTTTGGTCCACGTGATGGTCCCCGTCGCAGGCAGAGGGCAGCTCAGCTTCAGCACCTCCCCCGGGTGCACCGAGCACACCGTGGGCTTAGAAATTTGGTATTTGTTCGACGCCTCTGCAGAGCAAATGGGGGAGGAGGAAAGGTAGGGGGAAAAGAAAAATAGAAACAGAGAGAGGAGGGTGCACAAAAAGGAGGAGGAGGGAGAGGAAGAAACAAGCCTTAGTGTAAGGGAAATAACACCGAACAACCCCCGCTGGATGCACTTCAATCAGCTTATGCAAGAGGAGTAATACAGAAAAGAAGAGGCCCCATTTTTTTAAACCACGAAAGCAACATGTACCACAAACGTCTAGACAGCCGCTTCATACAGGTCCCACAGAAATCCTGCTCTGCAGTGACATTCAGTGCATGCAGTTAAGGCAACAGCAGCGCAAAAAGATCATCTGTCAGCATCGCTGGTGTTGAGACGTCCCTCCCAACGGCCCACGCCTTCCAGAGCGGACGCCAGGCAGCCGGTGAGCGTCAGCGCAGGAAGATCTCTGCAGCTCAAATAAAGACGGTAAAACTCCAGCACATCTACCCGGCACAGAGGAAAGCAGCCAGAAAGGTCGAGGGCGGAAGCAGTTGTCAGGCAGGGGACATGAAAAGGGGTGAGGGTGGGAGGTGGGGGAGGTGTCGCTCTCATTTCTCAGTGTTCCTCTGGTTGTGACGGCGCACCTTGGCTACAAGACCCCGGCTGACTCTTCTGTTTTCCGTCTCTCCCTCGCAGCTTCGCCCTGTTTCGTAACAACATGGTCGTGGACAGTCTGCAGGATGAGCTCTCAGCCAGGGAGCAGGAAGCACAGACGTGCATGAAAACCTACATCCAAACGTGCCTGCACGTGTGCACATCGGTTCGTCTGACAGCTCCGTGGACAGAACCATGAAGGAGAATTCACGACTTCGTAATTCATCTGCTCACATTCAGATGTTGAAACTCCTTTTTACGACTTTTCTCTTAAAAGTTGGCGGCTGTGGCCGAGCGGTTGGAGCAGTCGCCCTCCAATGAGTTGAGGGTTCGGCTCCACCAGCAGTCGCATGCTGAAGTGTCCCTGGGCAAGACGCTGAACGCCTCATTGCCTCCGATGTGTCCCATCGGTGAATGAATGTGATCAGCTGACTAGTTTTTGCATAGATCTAGTATAGAGCTGTATGAATGAGTAACAGATTGTTGTAAAGCACTTTGAGTGTCTTCATAAAATAGAAAGGAGCTGTATAAGTACAGTCCATTCACCATTTAAAGAACCTCTTCTGTATTCTGTGCACACACACACACACACACTGTTGATGTATGAGAAGGAGGGAAGGTCATTTTTCCAAACGTGTGTGAGGTGTGTGCAAACTTTTAAACACTCGACAGGTACAGTTCCAGCGCTTTGTTCACCGCCAAAGCAGAAATAACTAACTGCTCTTCGCCACCGAGGCCTCGGTGTGTGGTCCAAGAGGCGGAGCTTCTGTGCTGAGTGACAGGTCGCGCAGCGGGTTTTTAAAGAGATTTAAACGTCTCACTGCACGTCCAGTTTTTGAAAGTCAGAGCTTATTTATGAGCGCACACATAGCCATGCACGAGCCACTTTGTACCCACTTTAGCGGACACCCCCCCACGTTTCTGAATTAATCCAACATGTTGGAAATGCAAACAGGCAGATCTGGACCAGTTTTTAATACTGATTATTAAAACCCAAAGTATCTCGGGGTTTTGTTCATGAGTGAGGGAAGAATGGGGCGTGAGATTGACAGATGGATTGGTGCAGTCTCTGCAGTATTGCGGACTTTGTGCCGGTCCGTTGTGGTGAAGAGGGAGCTGAGCTGTAAGGCAAAGCTCTGTTTACTGGTCAGTCTACGTTCCTCCCCTCACCTCTGGTCATGA